GCTGTGTCAGCACACAGACACACACTCACATTAGGGAAGCATAAATACTGTATGGTGCAACATACACACCTAAAAAAAAAACAAAAAAACACTATAGATTCTTCAACCTTTGATTATGTTTTCCTAATAGGTTTCCAATGGAGCAATGACATCTGCTGGGCATTATTTGAAATGTAGTAATTAAGTATGTTATGGTTTAAGAAGTCATCTTCCTGAGTCTCATTGATTTTATCCCAAAATTATATATATATTTTCAGTAGAGAAAGATTTGTTGGTTGTTCTTAACAAAGAAATAGCAAAATATTTAATAATTAATGTAAATGAATTTAAATGTTTAATTATAATACTCCACATGAAGACATAACTGCTGTTTCTATTGGGTAAATATAATAATACAAAGTAACTTGTTTGACCTACAATACGATAGGATCTTGATTAACATTTGCTGAAATATTTATTAGAGAACTGAGTGCATTTATTACTGTATGTGCATTTTGCATATACATTTCAGAAAATCTGCATTTGATAAAGATACAGCAGTGTATGTAAGGTTTTCTTTAAATTAAATATTGCTTTATTTGTTTATTCTTAAATACAAAAATGTAAGTCCTGCGATGGACTGGCAACCTGACCAGGGTGTACAACGCTTCTCGCCTGTAGACAGCTGGAGATAAGCACCAACACCCCTCGCGACCCCAGCTGGGATGGGTGGACGGACCAAAATTCTGCGTAATCTAATCTGTTTGAATCTCTTGGTAAAATGAAAAAGTCAGATTTTGTGTACATAATTCGGTAATGTTAACACTATATTATACTCTGATTTATCCATATTTAACTGATTTCAATATTGTATAGGCAAGTAAATTTTCGAAATATTTAAGGAAAGTATAATTGTTACAAAAGTCTTTTGTTAACTTGGCAACATTCTCTAATAATGACGCTTCAAATGCACCCCACCACTGTTAAATATTGACGATATTAGCATTACTCAATCATGTCCTTTTGCTCATAGGATAAAGCTTGTCAAATCACCACATAGCTTTAGTAATTAAGTTGTTAAAAAATGTCAAGTTCATTCTTATAGAACCAGACAAGTAATAACTTGTCATCTTCCTATATGTAAAAAAAAAAATCTCAAGATCAATGTTCGCTTAGATATCATGGAGCAGAAGTATGGAATGAGAATGGAGATTGCTTGTACTTATCATAGATATCTAACAACAAAAAATTCTGAAATTTATTTTGCCTTTAACGTTTTAAGACTGAACTACATTTAGTATAGTATAATACAAATATTATGTTCGTTGAAGAAATACTGTATCTTTTTAGAACTGAAATTAAACTAAACTTAAACTGTTGCTAATTATAGGAACTACAAGTGTTTTTAATTTGTAATGTCATGCTCAATTGGAAATATAACATGGTCTTATGGCAAAAGCGATATATTTCTTTTAGGGGAAAGAAGATAGGTTTTGTCTCTTAATGTGAGCTATAAAAGAAAATTGGATTAATTTGTGTGTGGCTCTTTATATAAGCATGCTTAGATTTCTATCACACATTTTCACAATTTTGTTTGAATTGCGCATATATATATATAAACCCCCAAAGAGTCTGCAGCCCACCAGACAGATGTGAACAACTGAAGAATGTCCACAGTGATTAAGAGTTCATGGGATTTGCATCTCTCCCACGCACACTCACTTACCCTTATCAGGAAAATTGTTAGCATTACAAATAAATTGCCCAAAACATCTGGGTGACATCCAGCCATGCAATAAAAAAGGGGTTTCCTGCAGGGGCGTCTCTAGGTTTAAGAAACAAGGGTGGCTCAGCCCCTAGAAGATAATGCGCGCGCAATGCGCGCGCCAAATTTTTTCAGTGCACCTGCTAAGGCGTTGTCTAAGACAAGGGTGTAACTTTGTGTTGAAAGTTGGTGGGGACGGCTCATAAGGAAAGGGAGCTACCTGCGTGACGCCTTTTTTTTTTGTTGGAAAGGATAAAGCCAAAAAAATGCGAATAACATTTATCAATTTAATGCTTACAGTTGAAAACATAACTGTTACAATATTCACTTATATATTTTGTGCAAAAAATATCAAATAAATCTAAACACACAGTACAAATCAAAGAAATCAAATAAATATATCAATTTTGTAGAACATTTATTGACAGTCAATTTTGGGTCACTTTTTAAAATTAATTTACTTTTAAACCAGGACTTGGACAAGATCTTATGGGACCTTAAGCAGAATATGATTAAGCAACTCCGTCTTTCTGTCAAGAACATCCACCAGCAGGGTATCCAGGGGGGGATTTACCATTAGGCAATAATAGGCAGTTGCCTAGGGCCCCAAGTTCGGGGGCCCCATAAAACTCTGTTTCCATGTATGGTTAATACAACTAATCCTTATTTGTGCACATTAATTATGTTTTTGATAAAAATCCTTTGGCTAAAATGCCATCAGAACGCTGATAAATAGAGAGAAAAAAGGGACAAAACCTAGAACAAATAATGGATGTCTATTCTATTAACATTTCACTATCTGTAGAATGGGTCTGTTTTATGGGTTTTCTTCTCAGGGGGCCCCCTGCCTGTCTTTGCCTAGGGCCCCAAATTTCCTAAATCCGCCCCTGAGGGTATCAATACTGATTTGATAGAATCTGGGAGAGCGGACTATGTTCAACCATCCATTTTCTTTAACCTTATCCCTCAGTGGGATCAGGAGGTGATGGTGCATATCTCTAGCCACGTTCTGGGTGAGAGGTGGGATCACCCTGGACAGGTCACCAGTCTGTCGCAGTATGTTCAACCAGCTTAAAAGTAATCGGTAATCAGATTTATTATTTGCACTTTTACTAAGTGAACTTTCTAACTCCCTTAAATCTGAAATTCCAATGCCAAAATTGTTTAAATCTTTTATCTTTGGACCCCCTGCAGAGTGACGTCACACCTGCAGGATCCTATCCTTACCTTCCTGCTAGATTGCAAAAAGCAGCTTGCTCATGAGTTGTCAACATAACACGCTAAATCTTAAATGTACGTGTACATATAAAAGAAAAAGGGGCGCAGTGCTTGCTACTGAATGGCAACACTATCAAAGTCAGGAAAAAGTTTTAAGTAAAGCCGGGATTAAAATAGTAGCTACAAGAAGCTTCAAATAAAAGGTGTTCTCTATGTTCAACCTAAGCACCAACTCCGATAGACCATCAGTAGAGCAGGTGTTTAAATTAATCAATCACTGCTGCGAAAGCTTATAGCAGTGAAAGCTAATATACCACAGCCATCACTTAATAAACGCAAAATAAACAACCCTCTAAAAACGGAAAACTGTAATGGACTGAAAGTCCTGTTTTTTATGTGGGAAATTATTTGCGTGTGTTTTAGTATAATTCTGATATATTGGCGCTGTTGTCTGTTTCTATGGCAACGATACTGAATGTAGTGTAGCTTAGAGACCTGCATGGGTCGAGTTTTACCAACCCGCACCCGCCCGAACCCGTTAGAATGACTACCGAACCCGACCCGTCACCCGCGGATATCTTCAATTCAAATGTTATGGGGAGAGGTTGGAGGGGGGTGATGGGGAGAAAGCGAGAGGCAACAGATTCTTTTTTCTGAGTTTTTTGTCGGGGTTTGTGGACGGTGAGCAGCGGGGAGAACTTTTTTTATTTTCTTTCTGAGGAGCGGCATGAATGGGGTTTTAATCAGATATACAGCACCGAAAGCAAAATACGTGTACAAAATATTGTTGGGGACATGTCCACACCAGTCCTTAAGGAAGTTACGCCTATGATTGTTCAGATTAACTTGTCTTCTTTATGGCTTTTATTCGGTGCTTTACTGCATTTGTTTTGGGAAAATATGAGGAAAAAATAAATACAGAAAAAAAAAATATTTCTTTTAAAATCGCAAAATAATTATAGGGTGGCTAATGCCAAAGAAAGGGTGACTGAAGCCACCCTTAAATAGGTCTAACGACGCTTATGGTTTCCTGTATGCTTCTGCAGACCAGTCACGTCTTATATTAATTGTCATGAAATAGTTTGTATGAACAAACCTTTTGGGCTTTTTATCAACAATTCCCATGACGACCAGTTTCATTGAAGGCCGCATCCCACCTTTAATCTCTCCGATGTACTCCCCCTGGAAAAACAATAGATATAAATTGATAAGATTGTCTAGTTATTATTATGTCATTTAACAGCTGTCAGGGGGCTAAATGCAGGTTCGTAGGTAAACACCCAGCTGTGTTCATTTTCAACCACTTTCACTGTGCAGCACAGACAGGAACAATAGCTTCTTTGATCCAGATAAAAAAAAATATATAGAGTGACTCAACCGATCTGACTGTTTCAATCACTTAGATTAGTTGAATGACGCTATTAACGCTTAGAAGCCTGTTTCGCAAATTCAAGCAGAAATGATGTTACATACATTTTCTTTCTTGTCCTGGTCATCCATTCCACTCAGGGCGTGATGCGGTGTGGAAGCTGGCGGGGCGGTGATACCAACTGAGCTCCGACCGACTCTGCCTCCAGCTGGCAAATCCCGCCTGTTGCCATGGAGACTGCCTCCCCGATTGGTGGTGATGCTGGAAGGTAGAGGCTGACATGATGCGTTAGCAAGTCTTCCATTTTGCGAGTGGCAAGGATGCAAGATGGGTATTCTGTATTAAAAAGACTCAAGTTTAGGTTTAAAATGTTTTTTATAGTGTTTTTTTTTCTTTTCGCCATTATTAATATTATTAATGGTGATCAGTAAAAACAGTGCCCGAGGCAGTCATACAAAATGTGTACGACTGCCTTTAATTTGTCTTCATTAAAAGAAACAATAATAATGATATTAATAATAATAATAATACTATATTCAAAAATGTTTAATTTATAATTATAATTACAATAATAACAATGTTTAAACATATGTTTTTATATTTTTCCGATAACACTTGAATGCAACAACCTTCATCCAATCAGCGGCCGAGAATCAGCTGATGTTTGTCACATGACCTCCGTTATGCAGCTAGCGTAGCAGCTTGAGAGGAAGCTGTGCCTCGTACACAAAATACCTTGGTTTTCCTCAAAGAAATGAGTAAGTCGCTTTATTCTTGCTCTACTGGAAAACGTCTAAATGTGTTATGTGTGAGCAGAGACGCAGAACAACTCACTTTTACAGAAGAAAGGTCGCTAATCTAAGTTCAACCAGCAACATGAGGAGCTAATATTAGGTATGGCTGGGTGGGGGTCAGCTGTCAAATCAAATAACAAAAAAAAGTTCAGTCTTAATAATTTTAATTAAATACCTAAACCTTTGTTTTCTAAACAGACTGTCTCAATTTCCTGCCTTTGATGTTTTGGTTTGATTTCAATGATAAAGTATGAGGGTTTTAGTTTTTTGTATAAGTAGACCATTAGAATGATTGTTGATTTTTGTTAAATATTATAAAACGTAACATTTTTAGTCAGAGGACATGAAGGCTTCTAATAAAAAGTAAAAAAAAAAAAGTAATCTGACTGTAAAAATAAAGTACTTCTATATTAGAAGACAAATAAAAGTCAACACTAATTAAAAACGAACATTTTTAACAAATTAGAATTAAATAACTTTAGGGCCTTATAGAAGGATTCATACTATTTTTACTTTTAACATTTTGTTACTCCAACAAACTTCAGTCTATTTCATGAGGATTTTATCTTAAACAAACGTTGTTCAGTAAACAGTGTGTGGAAGACCATGCAACAGAGAATAGTTGGGAGGCTCCCAACAGGTTCACCATAGAGGTGTATTCACATTCTTTACTTAAGTAAAAGTATAAATGCATCTATTTAAAAAAAAAAAAGTAAAGTACTGATTGATATCTTTTACTTAAGTCAAAGTAAAATAGGTACAATTCTATACACCAAAATTGTTTTATTTGAATCTTTTTGTTCACTATTTTGGTAAAGAGACCATGAAAAAACTACTGACTGAAATTTCAGATAAAAGACTGAGCTAAACATCCTGCCTGATCAGCTGACTTTTAAAGCTCTGGTATCCACAGCATTAAACTTGCAAATAGCATTAACATTGAATTGGAATAATCAACATGTATGTTTAAAATCTAATAAAGGGGGAATGGATGGGGAATCTGTTTCTTCTCATAACCTGATCCATCATCTGCAATGTTTTCCAATCCCTTGTCTTCATCCATGTGTTTTTCTATTAATAAAGTGGGATGTAATTGGGTAGATTTTTTTGTGCTTTTGGCTTTCCCTGTTTTGTTGCAGTTGTTGTATCAATATTCATGAAATTAACAAGCTAGGTGTTAGAAAGTAAGGAGAAAAAAAGCTCACATATTTCTTCAAATGTAGGAAGTTAAAGTCCTCAAAAAAAAAACATAAGTAAAGTACATATACTGGAAACAACTAACAGAGTACAGATATGTATTTGATATCTCTGGAGGAGCTGCTGACATTCACAGCTCAGGTGGTTCAGAGGAGACCAAAACAGAGCCGGGTGATATGGACTTAAACTCCTACAACAATATTTTGTGATAATCAATTAATTAATTGTGATAATAATAAAAAGCAGAATAAAAACACTTTTTACTACTTCGTCAATGTCATTCTTAAGTCTCTGACTCCATGCCCCTCCTAACATAGCCCCACAATCAGGAATACTGCTCTCGAAAAAATATCTAAGTTTAAAACAGGCTTCTTCAGTTTACCTGTTGCATAAAGAATTATAATCTATTTAACTTTGAACTTTGTCTTTGAATTTGTCAACCCCTCATACGAAAAAAGGAAAGATGAAATTAAATGTCCTGACAATTCATCCAATTTCTGTTTGTTTTTAAATTGAATTTATTCCAATTCATCATTTGGACAATAAAAAAAAATCGAATAAAAATAAGATTCTTATCATGATTTATCAGGATAGTTATTAATCAATGTGATAAATGACCACCAACAATGAAACCTTTGTGGCTCATTATGTTTGCATATTCTTGTGCACTTCTGTAAACAAATTTCCTGCCTGCTTTCATACAATTAATTCAAATAGTTTCATTACTTGTTGAAATATTTCTGAATACAGATTTGAGAACCGTTTGATTTTATTCATTCAGTTTTAGTAACTATCTAATTGCACTGCTTTAATTTAGCTTAGACTGATAAAGTTGTGAAATACCTTTGTTTCTTTTTTAAACTCAGGTGTTAAAAGCTCCATAGTGCTGCTTGGTTTCTTTTCGGAGCCGTGACTGCAGAGTAGAGGCCTTTTTCAGCAGAGGCCACCATGCATCCCTTTGGCCGTGAAGCTGACGTTTCTCTTCAAGACCTCTTTGAGTATTTCAAGAGTTGCCTGCAGCACGGAGAATGGCAGCTGGCCAGCGCCTGTGTTTCACAGCTGGCCAACTCACCAGAAGGACTTTCTGGAAAAGTGCGAGAGATAATCAAAGCTATAATCTGCCATCCTTACAATTTAAAGTGAGTACTGATATTTAAACACACTACAAGATAAGACATCTTCTGTTTCCAATCAAAATGCATCAGCAGAATATTTTTTATTGTTTTTTTTTTTTTTTTGCTTAATGACATTATGAGAAAACCTACCTGTTAGTACAGGAGTGGGGGGCGTCATGCTGTGGGGTATTTCTCAGCTGAAGGGACCAGGAGACTTGTTAAAGCCAAAAATAGTCTTCCAAATTGACAATATCATGAAATTATTTCCAAAGTATCTTGAAGACAAGAGAGTCGACATTTCGATGCAGCTTTTTACTGAGTAAGAAAATCCAAAATGTTAAACTCTCCCTTTTTTAGGTAGTCTTAAATGGCCTAAAGTTTAGTTTACTCCAATTTAATGTTAGTTACTGAAGGTTATGTCTTTTATTCTATAGGTTATAAAACCATATCTGTTTCTGCTTCTATGCATGTCAGAAATACTGATATCCTTTTTTTTTGCTGAACTCTAAACAACGGTTTCGTAGATGGGCTTCTGTCGGCACTCCACACAAACTGGCTTGGTTTTGGCTGCAGGTCTTAGAGAAATGGACTCAGGATCAGGTGAATATGTGAAGCTCTTCCTGAAAAAGTACTCTGGGGAGCTTAGAAACATTTAATGGTTGCATTTTTTTGCCTTTTAAACACTAAAATGTTTGGGCTATACCTGGAAACTTGGACTGCTCCTCATCGATGTAATTTTATTCTTCAGGTTCCTTCTCACATCAAACATGAGCTGGAATTTCTACTCCTTCTTGAGGAACTGGGGTCAGAGGGCATCCCAGAGACTGTTCTCAAGGTTTGCTTATTTACTGCTGTTTGTGCAAGAAAAAAGGAAATAAAGAAATAATCAAACTATAAAAATACATACCTAATTATCTGTGCCTTGTTTTTTTGACAGGAATTGCACCAGGCTTTCTTGGCATTGCAGTCTGACCAAAGGCCGGCCCTTGCTGCTGTTGAGTCTTGCCTTCAAACCCTCCTGGAGAAGAAGAAACCAAGACTTGCTCACACTTTGGCACATTTCCTGCAGGTAGAGTCAGACCTCAGGGCTCTTGCTAGCAATAAAATGGTAGAGTAGCTAGATTAGCAGTCTGCATAGAATTTATAACACAGGATGTTTGATCATCAGTGATCTAAACCATGAAAGGAATGCAAGATTATTCTTTTTAGGACAATTGGGAATGGCAACCTAGCGGTTAGGGCATAGAGCTTGGAATCCTGAGGTTGTGAGTTTGAAACATACTCCCACAGACTGCCACTCTGACTCTCTGAGCAAGACCCTTAACCCCCGATTGCTCCCTGGGCGCCCCACGATGGCAGCCCACTGCTCCCCTAGGGGATGAGTTAGACACAGAGGCAAATTTCTCCAATGTGAGATCAGTAAATTTCAGTTATTATTTTTTATTATTTTTGAGGAGTAGAGTTTGCCTTTTAGTGCTAAAATAGTATAAAGAAGATATTAGGTGTTTGTTACAGTTTTCGCTCAAACGATCACCTGATGTTAAACGTGATTATTCTTAAATCTCAAATATTACATTGTAGGACAGGCGTCCTTTAAATGTTGGGTTACAGGATTCACGCCCTTCAGAGAATAGCCCCAAACTTCAGGGTAGTTAATACGATAGATTAACAGATAGCTGGATTTTCAGCCGCTCTTTGTTTTTGTTTTTTTCTGGATGCTCTTTCTGATGAAACAGGGATCCAAACCTGGATCTTCTGTGTCTCAGATGCATACTTAGCCTGTTACTTTGCAGAGGGAAGCTCATAAACCAACAGTAGTTCATGACTTTTGAGTGAAAGAAGAAAAGATGTGTTAGTCCACAACCATTCGCCAAATAAAACATGGACCATGTATTATTATTAAGCTTCCCTTTAATCTAAAATGGGTATTAGTACAATAGTTTAAATAAAGCAAACTGATAAGATATATGGGGGTTCATGTTTTCCTTTTAGTATGAGATGCTAAAAAAGAGAGGCTCTCATGGGTGAAAAAAAGGGACTAAAACTGAAAGCATTTCATTCTTATTTTAGAATAGTTCATAACTATTTAGTCTAGTCTTAGTCTCTTTTTAATAATGTTATTCTGTTCTTTTAGTCAAACCCTTTTCTCAAATCGGCCCAGTTTGTCATCTGTGAACTGTCACCCACAGTGAATTTCTCCACTGTGAGCTCAATGAAGTCCATCTTATCTTACAGGATCCATCGAGCACTGAAGGCCAAACACTGCAGCATAAATTTATAAAATACTTGATGGGGAAGCTTGGAAAACCAGAGAGGAGAGCAGAGAATGTGGAGCAGTGGGTGGAGGAGGTTTACTCCGTCCTGGCTCTCATACCATGCTCCAATAAAGGTGATCCACACCTGGAGGCGCTGTGCGAGGCGCTGTGGTCGGCCAGAGGAGGTCCGCTGAAAGAAGAGAGGATCCTCAGCTGCTTGCTTCGACCTCGCTGTGACACTCTGGTCTCAGTGTACTGCTCCACCGCCGTGAGGCTGCAGAGAGACCGCCTTCTGAGAAATGCACCGGACACACAGGGTAGGATTTCAGAACTTTAACATTTTTTATTAAGAAGCATTATTTAGCAAATAAAGGGTAATAAAGCCAAATAACTCTAAATTAATAGTCTGGCATCATGGTCTATAAACAGTTTAACTCAATAAATAATAAATTATCTACATTCCCATTCCCATAATCAGCCTTGTTTTTTTTTATTGAGCCTTTACTTCAGCTTATTGTTTCCTTTTCCTGCTAATTTTTTGCTAAGTAATGGCACAATCATGTTTAAAAGGACTTGATTAAATTAGACTCGCAGGATATTCTATAACTCAATCAGGAGCTCAAATTTTTATGATTACCATAGTTCACTCAAGTCCCATGATCTTTGGTCAGGCAATATAAATTTTTTCCTTGTTTGTAAAAAAGACATTTTAATTGAATTCCATTTGAAAATAAATTATATTGAAACACAGCTATGACTAAATCCAGTGGAGTCGTTCTAATAAAGTTTCTGGTGGGGAGCTGAGACTGGTCCACTTTCTATCCTTATTCCTCTGGATCTGAGTGCAGCCTTCAATACGATTCCCCTGTAACAGTAGGGGTGCCTCAGGGCTCTGTCCTGTGACCCATACTTTTTATCATCTATCTTCCTTCAATTGGCAGTATCTTTCCAAATTAAATATCAATTTTTGTAGTTCTTCTTAAAAGTCAAATTCCTTCCTAACCCCCTGCTTATCTGAATTAAAAATTATGCTTTGCCTCCAACTTTTTCAAGAGCCGTAGTAACAACACTGCAATCTATTTATCTCCCCATAGCGAAGGTAATAACTAAGGTGCAAAAGCTGTTGGATTCAGTTCACATGAAAATCAAATCTTTCCTAAATGTTTTTTTTAATGGACAAATTAAATTGAAAATGCTCTGTTTGATCATTAGAGGCATTCTGTATTTGTTTAAAGACATTACTGGGAAGATGAATAAAATAAATCTGTTATGCAATAAAAGGCTGTGGCAACACAGTTTGTAAAATACCTATGTTAGTTTAAAATGTCCAAAAAAGTCTGCAGAGTGGGCGGAAATAAACATTTTTGATATGTGCCTGTGTTGCTTCAAATAACTACACGTTACCTCGAATAAATGTTTCGAAAACTGCAACCATAACATTTTATAATGTGCTGATTCCTGATTAATAGTCGCACATATGAAGTTGACATTAAGTCTTCACGTATATACAACTTTTTCGTGTTCTTTCCCCATAAAACCATAAACATTTGTGTTTTTATTAGTATTTTATCCAATAGAACCAGAAAAAGTAGTGCTTACTTTTGAAATGGGAAGAAAAGGAGAGAAGTTTCCAAACTTTTTTTTACAAATAAAAATCATAGTCTTGTGTGGTCATGCATTCAGCCAACTTTACTCTGAGACCCACATTCAGACCCTGCTTTGAATTTTATTGTTCCATGACTTTGGCTGGTGCGATCAATGCCGATCCTTTCTCACTGTGTCGCATATATATATATATAAAGGAAAAACGCAAGTTTTGTTTTTACACGTTCAGTTCTGAATGTGTTGCCACACTTTGCATTGCAGACAGGGACTTGATTTACAAGCCACTTATTTTAGGTCTGGACTTAGAAAACAGCTGCATCATAGCTATTAGTCAGAATATGTGATTTAGTCATTCCTCCACTTGAGTTTTCAAGTCACTTATTTTGAGCAACCAGATTCAAGAAAACCCCACATAACTCTATAAATCAGTTCCCTTTCTGATGTTTTTGTGTGGTTAAGTAAGCTAAGGAAGACTTGATTGCATAAAAAGTAATAAAAAAACAACTATTTTTGCCAACGATGAACACAAAACCCTGATCACTTTGCAAATCATTCCACATTTTCCTGTTAAAGAAAAAAAAGTAGACGCAATTTGCAAAGTCAAATGTGTTGAAATGATGCTAATGATTTTGTACAAACAGAATAAAGAAAATAAATACAAATGGTATCTTGAAGCATGAGGATTTACACAAAGGTACAAAGGATAAGAAAAAATAAGAAACTTTACAGAATAAATTTATAAGTGCTGAACAGTTAAGAAAGAAAAAACCCAGACCATAGTAATTCCCCTTCTATGCATTATCAGCATAGTAGGGGAATTACAAAAATGAAATCTATACATGAATATTTGGTATACAAAAATTATAAACCCTAAATCGTAGCTAAAACACAAACACAAAAAAAGCACAGTGTTGATGAAGCCTGACTGTTTTTATGTTAATAAGATAAAAGATAATTATTGCTTTAAAATAGGTTGCCATTCATAGCGTTGGGGGAAGAAATGTTGACTTAATCTTTTTCCCCTTTTCTAATTACACTTCTGCTTCTTCAGCCTCACAGCTTTACCACATTTCGACTGCTGTCAGTAAAACTGATGGCTGCAGCTGTCTTTTGTTTCTTCTCTTTTCTAATTTGGTGGGGGGGTTGTCTGCTGCTTAACCACATATTTGAGCAGAATAAACAAAGTCAGACAGCACAATACAAACGGATTCAATAGCCTTAGATTTTTGTCTGTTATGCTTTCATTACAATTTTCAGTTGTTATTTAGCAAAAAGAAACAAACTTGTGATTCTTTTTTCAATCTAAATTGTTATTTTATTTTGAGGGAGTCGTGTTTGGCCCCATGGTTTATTGTGTTTGTGGCCTTAAACGCTCTCTTCTCCAGAATTCTCTGTGGCAGGACTTCAATGTGGTGTGGAAAAGTGCTTACCTCTAGCTCGCATGCGTGGATCTGCACGCCAGCTGCAACTCACTCTACTAGAGATGTCAAACTCAGTTTAAGAATATTACTGCTACTTAAAGGCCTGGGGTGTGAAAAAAATATTTTTAAATGTAACTTGAAGAAAAATATAGTTTCTCTGCAATTTCTTTTTACTTTTTTTTTTTGCTATTATATTACAAATGCAATCCATCCCTATAATAGATCAGCAAAAGATGGAATTTCCAGGTGAAAGAAAAACTAAACCAAATTTTTGTATATTCAGCTGCCCTGAGTGTCTTAAAGAAAGTAACTATTTGCATTTATAGAACTGATCCACTTCAAATTAGCTGTGATTAACCTTCCTTTTCCTGCTCAGTCAAAGCATCTTCACAGCATGAGACTGCCACCACCATGTCTCACAGCTAAGATTGCATTTTCAGGGATTTGTGCAGTGTTCCTTTACTGCAATTGTGTTTGTGATATAGTTGCCATCTGCTCTGAATGTCTTTGGATCATCTTAATATTTGATTTTTCAGTACTGTAATAATTTTGATCGTTTTTCAGAACCTGTCTATTGAGTCCCTGGTTCTTTAAGCTGTTTTTTGTTTTGTTTAGTAATGCATCTTAGAGACCCCCTGGAGTTAAGTACATATTAATTCAGTTTATTTGTTTTGAGCCAGTTCAAAACTAACAAGTCCAAGTATATACTCTCTTCAAAATAATCAAACAGAGAGATTCAAAGTTGTCTTAATTTTAATTTGATTCACTCAAGTGCATTAAAGATGGTTAGTGTTGATGGGAAGATATGTGCTGCAAAATAATCCAGATAGAAACCATATTAAAGGGACCAAAACACTTCTGGCTTTGGTAGAAGCTCATTTTCCTGCTAGATTGCTACCCTGAAAATACACCCAGAGAGTTTTTTTTAATCAAAAAAATTGGTTAAATGCTGTTGCTATGTACAGTTTAGTGATAAGACATACCTTTTCTCAATGGTGCTACTTTTAAATAGCAGTCAAGGATTTTGTTTGTGTTTTCATTTTTTTGTTTTTACCATATCTACCGGTCCTAATGGTAAAAGTGGGATCCATTTCGTGGAGACAGAGGAAGAGCATTAGATTTCCTCTCATGCGGCCAGCTCTTTGTTTCTGCAGAGAAATCATTTATTTGTTTGCATAAACATTACCTGAGTTCAGAGGCTCATGAAATGTGCAGATCGATACGACTGCTCTACGTATGCATGGAAGAAAACGCTTCCTGTTCTTGGGTGTCTCAAAGTTTACAGGACATCTACTGGAAAGCATTTTTATGTGGTGGAGCCATTTTAGATAGAAAATCTGCTGAATTTATTTGAAAGATAAACCTTATTTGCATCTGGGCTCAGAGAAAACAAAAGATGGGTTGATTTAAGTACCATAAAGTGAATGTGGGCCAGTGAAGTTTCTTCAGTGTAAAGTTTTGATCTTTATTCGATCAAATCAAAAATGTTTGCTTTGGTTCATATGTAAAAGTGTTATCATTACAGAAAATGAAACGTATGTAATCGCAATGGAAGCATGGCATGTTTTCTTTTTTTTTTTTTCTAAAAAGAAAAAAGATACATATAATTATTTTTATTTTTTTCTATCCCCCTTTTTTAGTGGACCTACCAGAAGCTGAGAAGCTTGCCCTCAGTCTGTGTTGCTATAACGACCGTCGTTCTGCTTGGAGGACCATCTTTTTTGAGTGCCTTAGTAGTGGGAAGCATTTTCTCGAGCAGGTTTTGGTGAGTTTACTCCTGAAAAAAGAAATCTACAGCCAGATTTGTTTTTTTTTACCAGCTTCATCATGATTAAGTTGAAAAATACAATCCGGTGTCATAATATCAGACCGTTGTGATCTGTAGGTCAGTGGACTGGACCTGATGAAACATGAAGATTTTAGTGGATTGAAAGTTTTACTGCAGCTGGAGTTTCGGCCGCTGTCTCGCCTGCTGCTGCTGCTGGGATGGACGCAGTGTCGCAGCCTCAACTCTGCTCAGACCTTTGTTAACATCCTCCACAAAGAGCAGGTTTGTTCACACTGCTACTAATACTGAATAAATACTAAATAAATTTCTATACTTTTTTTTTTTGTAATAGGGCAACCTTTACTTTTTTCTTATAACCTGGTCTCTTTTATGTATAAACACAGAATCAGATTTTATTCCTACTACTGCTACATGTTGCATTAGTAGGAATATTTTTTTACTTTGTTTCATAAAATAATAAAATCACAAATTATAGAAGTAAAAGTTATAGTAGCAGCAAATAAATAATAGCCTAATAAATGTAATTTCACATTCAGCTGTTTATAAAGATGAACCGGCTTAGTGTCATGTACCGTAAATACAATTATGTATAGAATTACCTATTAATTTATCCAATATGAGAATAATTATGAACACTGAGCTAAAACTTAGAGCAGAGAGGTTTTAAGCGGCTGCCCTATAAGAATAAAAAAGTTTAAAGTTTTTTTTTCTGAATTGGGGAAACATATCCTGTCTGTGCGGATCATAGAAAACCCGTCTGATCAAAGCAAAAAAGCAAAACGTCCCATTGAGCATCGAGCTACGTTGCCAACAGGTGCATCTTCACCTGTGTGCATGTCTCATGGCAGGGAGGTCCCAAACCTATAGCGTATGCTACCAAGACTCATACATGGGGTGAGTTTAAATTTATGGGCTGCGTCTTCCAAGAGTTTTGGCTGTGAATTCAAACAGGTCTAGCATTCTGTGTCTTTCTCTGCGGTACGCTCTGTCACTTAATATCCGTGAGAGTTGACACACAAAGCGGGAAAAGAATGAATACCGAACTTTTCAAAACTGTTTTCTTTTTAATTTTTCTTTTTTTTTATTGTAAAGTGAACAAAGACTACTACACTCATGTGAATACAGAGTGGAATAAAGGTGACAACCACTGGGAGAATGAACAAATAAAAGCAAATGTAATGATATTAACCTTAGTCAGTGAAATAACCTGCTCCTGTCATTTTGCACATCTCTGATGTTGCTATTTTCAAAAATCCATTACTGTAAAAATGTCCATAGCTGCATATTGGTTATTTTTTCTCCAGGTGCACAGTTTTTATATTGTTAAAAACTATTTTCAGTATAGTATTTTATTGTTTATCTTTTTAACTCTTCACTATTACTGTATGTTTTTCTTATACATTTTTCTAAGGTCCACATCTGTGGGGTGGAAAGATAACTGAATCTAAACAATGTATTTATAAAAAAATATATCTGCAAAATCTCTATTTTCAACAAGAAAAAATTCTTAGTTAAGCAAATTGTGCAAAATAGCAAAACATTTTAAAAACTTTAAAAATTAAAATATCTGATTTATAGGCCCCACACTACAGATCTATTAGAATCTGTCCTTAAATTACAGCCAATCCCATGTACACAGTAACAGATTACTGTAAATCAAATATTACCTGCCACATATCTGACACAATAACCATTAAAACACCTATTTTTATTAATTTCAGATGGAACTATTCACTTAACTATTCATACTTCTATCATATTAAACTGAACTTCCAATATTCACCACTGTTTGGCGGCAAGTACCTTTTTCCTTTGATCAAGGAGCAGCCGACTTGCTTGGTCTCGATGAATCCTGGAATAAACAAGGATAGAAAGGATACATCGGACCCATCCTTCAAATCGGCCAAAAAGCTGGAAGCATTTGTAGGCCGCATAACAAGGAATCTTGAAATCTTACCAGACCTCGGCGCAGAGCTATGACGTAATCGGCCTCTGAATCTGACCCTCAGAGGACACATCCCATAAATTCAAACGCAGACATGATTTGGGCCACAACATATTCTCCTTCATGTTTTATTAATTCTTTGTGCACCTTTAGTGGTCTTTAATGGGCTTTACAAGGACATTTTGAGCAACCATCATGAAAGGTCACTATTTGATTGAACAAAATCATCCAAATAAACTCAGCTTATAAATGAAGTAATTATTGGACTGATTTGATAGCATTTTCTTTTGGAGCATTTTGGATTAAAGAGCAGATTGTTTAGCAGAACAGCTTATTTTCTTTATTAAAATGCTGGCAACTTGCATGTGTCCAGTATTCAGCAGACTGATATATTCACTCCTAAAGAGGAGGTACTATAAGAGCCCAAAATTGAATAAATAAAAGGAATGTGTATGCACTTAATTTCTTCTCTTTTTTTATATTAAATATATTATGGCAACAAGCTAAATATAGGAACCAAATCAATGGATTGTATATGTTGATAACAGTGCAGAGGTGGCCTTGCTGTTTGCTTTTATACTGCTGGGCCAGCAGGGGGCAGGCGTATGCTGAAGGCAGCTGCATGATGACATGAGGCTGCACTTTTAGATGCACAAAAATAATCCCGAAATACAGAAATGCTGAAGCCAAAATCTAATTCTAGTGCCAAGGTGCAATCATAAACGGTGGGGAGTCTTTCAACATGTGTAGAACAAAATATTGATGACATTTTCAATTGTCATAATTTTTAGGATGAAAATTGGGGATTATCTTTAGATAGTCCTTAAAAGTGTTGACTGTTAGGTGGCGTTTTACAACATTACATCATAAGTGAGATGATTGGAGCTGCTTTAGCCAGCTGACCAGAAGTGCATAAAAACAAGTTGCTTAACTAGCTTCCAATACAAACTAGGTTCTAAGAACATTGATATTTTCATTTTGGCTGAATTGCTTTGAGAGTCTTTTGTTTATTCTTTAACTTCTAATTTCTTCAGGGTTCAGCCAATGACTCGGTTCTTCAGCATTTCTGTAATCTGTTGTCATCTCAACTTGGGGTTCTAGAGTGGTGCAAGATCAACAATCCGTAAGAACACTTTTCCTTTTCTTTTTTTTTTTGGTCAGTGTTTCAAAGACAATTTTTTTTTTTTTTTTTTTTACATTCTTAGTTTAAGTCTGGGTCTGTGTGTGCAGGGGGGTATCCATGGAAGCGCTGCAAGCACAACTACAGACTCTGGACAATCATTCAGCTCTTTATATTCTGCACTCCTTGACTCCTTTGGCTGAGTATGAAGAGCACAGGATACTAGATCTACTACAGCAACTGCCAAATTCACCCGAAACAGGTTAATAGTGTGCATTTTCCCAGTTAGTCCCTTGAAAATCTCATGGTGTGAAATATTAAAGCTTTCCTTTGGTTCCTTGTTTTGATTTCTTTCAGAAAACGCGGTCAGTCAAAGTTCTGGTGTGCAGAGGAACATTGTTTTGTTTCAGGGATTCTGTGCCATGAAGTATGCAATCTATGCTCTGTGTGTGAACTTCCATAAATACTCCAATTGTGCCGAGTGTGAGTCTAAGCAGCATCACCAAGGAGCTGAAACGGACACAAACAGAACTTCAGCTTCCTCAGAAGGTAGGAGCTGTAGATTGATCACAGTTTTGGAAATAGAAATTCTCGTTGCTGGTTTCAGATCCATTTGAAACACGATCATCTGTGATATCACTTAAAGATGTCGGTTTCTCTTTCCCAGGTTGCCATTATATGTTTCAGCACTATTTATCAGAGTGTCAGTTGTACCTGGAGACTGTGCCTGCCATGTTCCGCCTGGAGCTCCTGGAGAATATCTTCTCCCTTCTCTTTCTATCCACCTCTGACTTTGTCCAACACTTACAAAAAGACTCCAGCTCCAACCCAAACACGGGTCATGAGACTCAATCCGAAAGCTTGTCGAGACCAACAGAAACAAATGCGGAGGCGAGAAAATCCAGCTCAGATGAGGCTGAAAGCAGCAGCCAGGAAAGCCCTAAGCCTCGTCTTTGTTTAGCAGCAGCTCATGGTGGACACTTGGACCTAAGCCACTGCCTTCATGGCTGCAGAGGGTTTCTGGTAGATGTCACTGCCATGGAGGGTTTTTTAAAGCTGCTAAAAGAAGGATTGGAGGGCATGTGTGTGGTGGGTCAGCAGAAAGGACAGGAAGAGGGAAGAGCGCTGCCTCGGGAGGCTGAGGCAGTGGCGAGTCTGGGCTGTTCTGTAACGGCCGAGACGTTTGGAGCCCGCCTGCAGAGGTTATCTAAACGCACCGCAGAGGCCCAGTGGAGGCTGCAAATCATCACCAGCAACCAGACCACTACAGATGGTGAGAAATAATCAGCTGTATTTTCCATGGGAATCACAAAGTGGTTTATGTTCAACATCCAACTGTGTCCATGTGCCTAAGAGCTCACAGTTTAAACTAATTGTGGATTAATTAATGGTTGCTATTCTTGCAGGTTCAGAAAGTCCCATTCAGATGTCAACATATAGTTCTACTGCTGCTACTCTGGGATGCAGCAAAAGGTCAAGTGTGAGGAAGAGGAGGAAACCGGCGAGGCAACCTGCCGAGAGGCAAACTTCTGCAGAGAAACATAACGGAGAAGTTAGCACAAGTGCATCAGGTGACTGAGAACAAATATTTTAGATCCCAATGAATTACCAGAACCAAAGATTCAGGGAATTAAACTTTAAGTGACCAAAAATAGATTTCTTTAGTTAGCATTTAGAAATGCTCCATTAAAATCCAGTTTAAAACCCTTTTGAAGTGATGGGGAGATGGATTAAGCTGAGGAAATAACAGCTAAAGTGTTAGACCAGTTAACAATGGAGCAGATATAGAGGTCCTCGTTCCATTGATAGGACTGTTGGTGGTTGGGTTTGTAGTGGCAGTATGGGGCTGTTTTCTTTAGCAGGGACATGGAAGCTTGTTAGAGTGGAGAATAAAGTCCCAAAGGAAAAGCTGCAGATCACTTTAGCGTGATAGGAGTTCAGGACAGCAACCTAAAAAACAGAAAGGTTAAATTAAAGCATCCTCTCTTATGAGAATGGCCCAGTAAAATAAGCTTGACACCATAATTCAACCAAGAAGTTCTGCAAAGTTGTCTCAGAAACATGTCAGAAGTTAGGAAGGTGTAGTTACACTTGAAGCTGGTTCTAAAAAGTATTGATTCAAGGAGATGGGATTTCTGCGAATCAGAAAAACATTTTTTTTAATCCACTTCACACTGACGCACATCTGTGAATTGGTGTGACATAAAATCCAACTAAATATCTAAATACATTAAGAGAGTCTTAAACAGTTTATGAAGCACTTTACAAGTAAGTCCAGCTAAATTTGCTTGCAGCATGTCATTTTCTTTTTGTACAAGACCTAAAAATGTATTACATTTAAATGTTAATTGAATGTGCTATATTTCATTAATAAATCCTATTTTTCTGTGTTTTTGGAGGCTGCTTGTAAAAATGGGTAATAGCTTTTCATCTTTATGTACCAGATGGTGGTGGGGTGCCCCTGGCAGGGTGTGCGGAGCTGGAGCTTTGTCCGTGTGGAGGTTCTCACAGCTGGTTGGTTCCTGCCATGTTGTCTCCTCCAGAATCTCTGCTGATTTCCTGCATCCGTCGGGGAAACTTCATGCAGGCACATCAGGTCTCTAGTCATCTGTGAAACAATTAATTGCAGATCTATTTTGCTAAATAGTTTTGTCTCTGCTGCTATAGTAAGGGCCTGATGGCTAATTTCTGGTTTTGCAAATTAGAGCTTTCTTTGATTCTTTCCAGGTGTCTTTAGTTTTTGACCTGGAGGGGGCTACCTGTTGTGGAGAGCTGGCCTTCATGGAGCGCTATAAAGAAGTTCTGGTGGAGTTGGTCCAAGTGGAGCAGAAGATGGAAAGCCAGTCTATGTCTTCCTCATCGTCTTCCTCTGAGGGCTTGGGTTTAGCCGCGGCTCCAGGTGCAGGGAGAAGTCGGCTGGGCAGCAGTGGTCGCTCAACGTTGCAGGCTATCGGTAGTGCCGCCGCAGCAGGTTAGATGTTTATTTGCATTTTTATTTTTATTTTTTTTGCATTTGTCACATTAACTACATTTTAATGCTTTTCTTCTGTTTCCCTTCAGGAGTTGCTTTTTATTCCATCTCAGACATTGCAGACCGCCTCCTCAGCACCCCTGCTCATCCGCTGTCCTGCCTGGAGGAAGGATACTGGATGAGCTTCTGCTCCTCTGACACCTCCACCCTTCTGTACAAACTGCTTGAGGAGCTCAGCCCAGCAGCCATGGCTGCTTTCGACCTAGCTTGTTGCCACTGCCAGCTCTGGAAAACATCTCGGCAGCTTCTGGACACTGCGGAGCGCAGGCTCACCAGCAGCCTTGAAGCGCGGGGTATGAACTTTATTGAATTTGTTTAGTGTGTTATGTAACATAAGAGGTGCATTTATATATAGTTAAAATTGGTGTGTTTTTCTATTATTTAACAATTTTTCTGTGCTTCCCAAGGAGTAAGAACTGACTGTAAAGTGCCTCATTCAGAAGGGATCTGTGGATTTCCAATGGTGTTGCAGCAGATCAACAAGATTCTGAATCATTCAGCCACTCATAAGCCTTCCATCAAAACAGGTGAATAGAGAAACTTAACATTTAATACTGATGCAGTAAGACTCACTAAGTCCTATTTTACATCTGATACCAAAGCATACATCATTCAATATCCATCTAAGCCAGGCTACCACAAAGTCTTATTAGAGTTTCTCTATTAAATCAGTGGCCAGAGCTTTGTAACTTTGAGATGCTACATGTACGGCATGTTTGTACTAATGCTCCAGAATTCAGCTACTACACAAATGTTGCAGCAATGATCAAATTCTAAAATTACTTTTAGAATTTTTTTAAATTTTTATTGGTATGCTATGCAGGCTCTTTGTCTGCACCATTGAATATTTGATCTTCCAAGAGGCAGAATATTTGAATTGGTTCCTGCCTGACATCAATTCCTATGGATTCACCTAATAATTATTAGTGTATTTGGATGCAGTTGTAAAACATTATATTTCATATCTGCACAAGTACAGTTGATTCTTAAGAAATAAGAAACTAAGTAAAATTAAGATGACACATCAAAGGAACATTAAAAGGAAAGGATCCATTAAAAAAATTGAAAATATCAAGGTTCCTTTTTTTATATAATTAGATCCATTCAGCTGATTTCAGAACTCAAATAGAAATCTGTGTGAAAAGATCTTTATTAATAATGTGTTGGTTGGTCTGTTTTGCTTGCAGAGTCAGTCGGGGAGGACCAGGTGTTTTCCTTCCCATTTGGTTGCTGCATTCAGGAAGTGCTGCTCTCCTGCCACCCAACACTGAGTGAGGAGAGCATTGCGGCCCGACTTAGTCTAACCCAACGTCTGGAGAACCCGCTACAAATTCTGAGCGCTGCTGTCGATCCGACTGGTTTGTTTCCATCAATTGAACACATTGTTTTTATTAATGCCAGGTTAGATCGACCTATTCCTGTTCTGTGTCTGACTGTATGCGTTATTCAACAGAGGGCAGCGTGGACAGCAGTATTTTGACACTGCTGGTTGAACAGGCGAGTCTGAAGCAGTCGGAGCTGGATGCTAACCCTGTTCGTTCCAGCATGAAGCAGCTCCTTCGTTCTCTGGACCAGCTTTGCCCCTTTGAGCCAGAAGGAGCCCTTGAAAGGCCAGATTATGTTCGCAGTTTCCTCGACTACATCAACACACTGGCCTCTGTGTTGGTGCGAAGCCTCTCTTCAGAAGGTACCATTATCTGTCTCTTCCTTCTGCCAGCTGGATCAGTTGTTTGTTTTTTATTATCTCTGCTTATTGTCCTTCCTTAGACCAAAGAAGTCAAGTGAAGCTTGGGAACCCCCTCCTGGTTTTGCGCCAAACTCCGTTTCAACTTGTCTCCCACCTTCTGTTTGACAGACAGGTCTCTCCTGACAGGTACACATATTAAATCTTGTTCTGGTATTTTAGCTGAACTTAAATCCCACCAATCAGAGCAATCAGTAAGGCCTTTATTTAAAGGGAAAATATGGTTAGAAGTTTCTCTAATTGCTCTTGCAAAATATATAATCTTCAGTCAAACTGAATGGAGAGCATCTGTAATTGTTATACTGTATTTAGCAGCACTCTGCCTTTCTGTCCTTTCTAATTAGGTCTCCAGTAAGTCAGGGGTCTGCAACTTGTGCCTCTGTGGACCCTCTACCATACAAAAAATATTTTATTCATTGTTTTATTAAAGTAATTTTCTTTATTCAGAAAAACAGAACTTTTTTATTTAGGTCTGTAAAACTATCTTGTAAATTCTGAAAAATTTAAAAACATTTGGCATTTCTGGGTAATTTATTACAGATTTTCTGTTCACTACATATGTCTGGTTGTACAAATGAGGTTTTTCAGGAACAAACATATCACACCAATAATGTAGACAAAACTCAAACATAACGCATTTATTCTTATAGAGTTAAAAACTAGAAAATTTGAACTGACTGTTGTTTAATAAAATGGGAACATATGTCTCCTATATCAGATATTTAACTATAAGAAATAGTTGTGTTTTATTTTAAGGTTATGTTATAGTTGCAGCTCTAAACGACATTTATTTACAGTAGCTATGCTCAGGGTGAAATGGCTTTTTGCCGGAGCCTCCCTAACTCCTAATGAAGATCATCCCTTTAGCATAATGCTGTTACTGTGTGTTATGGTAACAGATCTTTTTTTGATACCCTTTTTCATAATTGTTTTTTTTAAGGTATCAGAATAAAGAGGTTAAAATACCAACACAGTAAACATTTTGTGTTAAAATGTGAAACTATTAGGAAGGATGATGTTTTTTAATACTCGCTGCTGTTTTACAGTTGTTTAATTTCATTGTTTCTGTTTCTATTTAATCTCCAGAGTTCTGTCGGTTCTGCAGCAGGAGGGGCTTCGGCTGAGCATCCAGCAGGTCATTGTTCAGAGATGCTGCGAGGCTCTGCCTTTGTGGAGCTCCTGTCCGGCTGCTGAAGGAGACTCTGATCAGGGGAAGAAAGCTGATGTAGCCTTCAGTGTTGACAGTTTATCTGTGCTGCTTCAAACACACGCTCAGGGTTATAGCAACGCGCTGGGAATGACCGAACCTCTGTCTGATGTCAGCTCTGAGTCCGAAGCCTCAGCGGACGACCCCTTCTCTTCCCCAATTAACCTTTCCACATCACCACCATCTCAGTCCTCCATCTCTTCATCCTCCTCAACCTCATCGTCCTCAAACACCTTTCTCCTCACCGCTTCAGCCCTGTCTTTCCTTAAATCTCGCTCTCCTATTCTTGCCGCTCTGGCATGTTTAAGCGCGTGTAAAGGAGAAATGACACGTACAAAATCATCTGGGTTATCTGGATATTTCCGCAGCGGCAAGAAGGAGGTTGTCCTCGACAGTGAGCAGATTTCTCGAGAGGCGGACGGCCTCCTGAGGGAATTTCCGATTCTGAGGGCTTACCTCCAGACTATGGTGGAACCTGTGCTGGGGATCGCATTAGGCGAGGAGGAGGAAGGGCCTGCTGGGCTGGGAGGTGCTATCTGTGGGAAACCGCTCATCGGTCTCCTGCTCTGTGGGCCTCAAGAAGAGGCGACTCAGGCACTGGCTGCCGAGGCCTTTAAAAATGCTCTGGTGTCTAAAAACGTGGAGCGAGCCCTCAGTCTGCTGGAGCTGTACGGGCAGGGAGGCAGCCAGCAGAAGGAGCTCACAGACCACCTACTTGTCTGCGCTGCTTTAGAAGGTGAGGAGTCAAAACATGTAAATAACATGGTTTTAAGGCTTAAAGTGATGGAGATGCTGCATAGTGACTGTGAGAGACCAGGATGATTCACTGTCTTGCTGACGGGGATTTTCAGATTTCCAGTTTGGATTAAAAGTGTTTTAAGTTCATTCTTCCAATTTAAATTTTTATGAATATAAAGCATAAAATGGTCGTAATTGAATCTGCTTCAAAGCTTATGTTTCTACCTTGTAACTCTATTCAAACTCAAAAAGTTAGTTACTTCTATTTCTGGATGTTTTTAATGAAATGCAATGGAGAGAAAAAAATCTTCATCCTGTTTTTGTTCCAGTTGTTTTAGTGATAATCTGTTTTAGTGATATCGCTATTGTTACTTAAAAGGCATCAAACCTGAAGTGGTGTAGTTCTGGTTGCTGTGCAGCATTATAGATTGATTTTATTGACTTGTTAGTAAGAAAGCCCTCAGATTCAAACTGATATATTCCCCAAATGAAATGTTGAAATGTAAATGAGCTCTTTATTTTTATAATTCTATTTGATAACAGAGTCCGAAGGTGTTGGTCAGCTGTTCCGGGTGCAAGACGCTGACCTGCGAGCTCGCGTTGTTCTCCAGGCTCTTGAGCGGTGGCCTCTGTCAGACTGTCTGGAGCTGATTGACTTTTGCCTTAATGACCTAAACACACAAAGCTCTCTGAGAACAGACCTTGAGCTAAGGAGGACAGAATTAGGCATCTACCAATGGGTAAGGCTACTCTGATATGCATTATTTTAAACAGTGATTAAAGCAAAGAACTGTTTCTGCTTTGTTGCCTTTTAAGTCTTATCTTTGTCTTATCCCATCGTAGATGATGACCTTGCGGCCCTCCTTACCTTGGAAAACTTGGCAGGAGCTGAGGACGGAATCCAAAACTAACCCTGAGTCAATGCTGTCGATGATCCTCGAGGCAAAAGTGGGTACAAGGTTTTAATTAGAGAAACAAACACTGCTTAAAACTATACAACTGTAAGGATTTGGCATTTTAAAAATACAGAAATTAACCAGTTTTTTTCTGTTTTTACAGGAATTTTCTCTTTGTAAGCAGTGGATTGAACTCTTTCCCGTCTCTGAGCAGCTGAAGCGGCAGATGCAGGCTGAGCATCTGCTATATCTGCTGGAAATGGAACAGATGGATGAAGCTCTTCAGGTTAGAACCATTACAGTAAACCTCCAACAATCAAACTGGAGTCTCTACATCGGATAAGTTACCAATGCTTGGTAGGATTTGCATATATTATACTTTCAATGTACTGGAAGCTTATTTGTAGGTGACAACTCATCTTGGAAAGAGCAACTGTCTTTAAAAAATCTGCTCCATGGTTAACGTTAACTAAACTAGGCAAAATGACAAAAACTAGTATAAAAAAATGTTTATTAACTAAAATCAAAATGAACAGTAAACCTAGCAAAAAAAACAAACAAAAGCTAACCGAAACTGTTGTAAGAAGAAAGCGATTTGTAATTAACTGAATTTTAAGAGACAACATTCTTAGTTTACGTTTTATCATAATGCATTAAAGGTGCAGTTGGAGATGTTGGAAAAAAGGTTCCAGCAAGTTATATTTTTGAACATACACAACCATGCCTCTCCCTTCAGACCACCCCTCGAAGCCACGTCTTCAAAACACATGAACGTGCATGCTGTCTGCATCGCGTCACTGATCTCAGAACTGGCAGGGAGACAGGCAGCACTGATGATGCAGAGCACTATGATAACTCCTCTGAAACGGTTTATTAACGCCTAAATTTACTTAAACTGGCGGCAAAACATGTTCACTTTTATTATTCTGGTGCCTGTAGTTTGGATTACATACGTGAAAAAAACGCCTTCCAGCCGCAGCGGCAAACCGCAAGGAGGCGTCCGGGCCAGAGGATGCTGTTGAATTGGATTCCTAGTGACAGCGCACCACCTGTGTACATGGGTCTGACAGAAATATTTGAGGGCAGGATGGTAGTCTGGATAAACTGACTGCACTGACGATGTTTTCAGGTGGACTTACTCACTTCAAAATAGATTCAAACTACTTTTTACCCACTGATCACAACAATTATAGCTGCCATTGTTACAGGCAAAGAAAGGATGGGATAGCTCCACCCAACACGCATCAGACCCACTTTTCCACCGCGTAGCTAGGGGCAGCAAAGATGCGTCAGCCGTGAGTCAGAATTAAACTTGTACAAGCATAAAAAAATGAAGCAGCATGCATGTTTTTGCTGCTCTTGCTGCTTTTAATTGTGGATAGGGTGACCAGACGTCCTCTTTTTCCTGGACATGTCCTACTTTTCATACCTCAAAAATGTCCTGGGGGAATTTCAAAATCATCCGGGATTTTAGTCGACTACAGTGCAACAGAACCGAGCCGTAAGCTCCGTGGCTGGTCGGGGTAGGGGACGGAGCGACCAAACCTGACCTGGTAACAGTAGCCCGGACACCAGCGGCCCCGTGCTTCCCTCCTCCTGCCTTGCTGGGGTCTAATTTGTGGTTTCTGTTCTAGTCTTTTTGTTGTTGTACCACATTATATTAGCATTTGGCAGCTACAGCAGTAAGGTCATTTGTGTTGCTGAAGAGGTCGGTCCTTATCTGAGATAAGTTTAAATATTGTTTTCATATTACATAAAAAAAGAGTAAAAAACTAACCTGAAACTAAGCTTTGTCAAAGAAGAAAACTAAACTATCTGGCAAATGCTATAAACAAATCAAACCAGCAGTCAAAACTGAATAACAGTAAAAACCAATGAAAATTTCAAAACAATTTAAACATTGATCGTCTTCACTTTGTTTAGAAAGTAGAATCCTTGGGTTATACATACAAACTTTCCCAAAGGACTGACCTAATGAGACAATTTCATACAGCATTGGTGGTTTCTAAAAATGAGTTTAGAATATTCTTTCTCCAGGAAATAGATTTTTTTTACCAACTGAACTGATTTGGACTTTCTAAAGAAGGCCTACACAAAGTCCTGATCTGAACCCTGCTTTAACTAAACCAAAGGTTTCTTAGAAGTTCCAAAATTGAGCCTGCATGTATAAATTTTACCCCATGTGGATTAAAGGTCTATTCCCGATAAATTCCACCCTGGAAAAAAAAAAAAAGAACAAATGATTACTATGTCTCTAATTTGTCCCTTTAGCTACTTGAAGGCATCCCAGATGTTGCGGTGGGCCTCGATGTTTGTGAGCACGCCCTGGATCGGCGTCCTGGATTGGCCGCTTGCCACTTCCTGGCTGACTACCTTACTCTTCATTTCCAGAGACAGGTGTCTCCAGCGCGTCGTCGGCATATCCATGCCCTTCACCTGGGCTCTAAGGTTGGTCGGTTTCTTGACCTTTCAGAAATGATCCATTCAATAAAAAACATATCTGGTAAACATGTAAAAGATGACATGAAAGTTAAATTTAACGCTAAAAGTTAAGAAAAAATCAGAATTAGGTTTGGTTTTATTTAACCAGTGTAACATTTATTTTCAGAACAGATATTAGCTGTTTTTAACTAAATCATTGGCGGCCATTTTGGTGAGATTTAGCCATGGCTTTTGGAGCCACTAATCTGCTTAGTTTTAAATCGCCTGGTGATTCAAACAGATCCTGAATTCATGCACATCTCACATCTCATGCCTTTAGGAGAGAATCAGGCCCACAGCATCACACATCCTCTGTTCTTAACACTCGACATGAGGGTTTGTAACTGAAAACTGGACACAGTTCCAGTTAAGGTCCGAATAGAGTTCGGTGAGGTCAATGGCAAATGTTGGCTTGTTGAGGAAATGTAAGGGTTGCCATGGAGGTGTTTTTTTATTTTTTATTTTTTTGTTGACATCCTCTACATTCTGCTCACTGTGCGTGAGTTACAGGATAAAATCTCCGTCCAGCTTATTTAGCGAGTGGTTAAATAAAACAGATCTATGCGTCATACTTCAAACCAAGTTATTAAAACAAAATGAAGTTTAGTTATTTTAAAGCTTTTGTACATCACCAGTGTGCAGTTCATTTTCCCAGGCCTGTGCATGCATGCCTGTTTGCATATAACACAGGAAACCTAACTGGTTCCTATAATGCACGCGCTCCTGTGAGGTAATTTTCTTTGAAAAACAACACACCCAGTTTACCATGACGAAGGGAGTCATAGCTTTAAGATTACATGTTCCTGAACTCATCTGTTTTTAAAGTTTCACAATTTCAAAGGAAACAAACTGTCCCTATCATGTGTTATCTGCAAGTTTGAAATGTTTGGTTTTCATAGTCTGAATTCTTCTCGATGGCTTATTTCCTGTTCAGCCCTGTTGTTTTCTGTTACGTTTACAATGCATGGATATGTTTCTTCCTCCAGGTACTCCTGACTCTCCCCCCAGCCTCCAGGCAGGAGTATTTCTCCCTGCTTTCAGAACCGCTGCTGATGCTGGAGCAGCTGTTGATGAATCTGAAGGTAGAGTGGGCAGAGGTGGCGGTGAAAACCCTAAAGAGTCTGCTGGTTGGTCAGGAGGCTGGCTTCACCGCAGAAGACATAGATAAGCTTCTAGCAGAATATGCCTCCAAAGCTCTCGACTTCTCATGTGCCCCCAAAGAGAGGTCTCGTTCAGGTTGGGGCTGCAGTTTTTTGTTTTGTTTTTCTAATTAGGGTTAAATCCCAGTCTACACTGCATTTAAGCAACAAAAAACACGTCTTTTTAATTTCCAGACTCTGTGATCAGCCTTCAGGATGCGCTGCTGCAGTGCCCTGCTCAAGAGCTCAGTTCTCAGTCGTTCACCCGAATTGACTCTCCATCTTCTTCCTCAAGTAAGAAAAGCGATCAACTGGTTTCTTTTTGGTCCATGTTCTCTTCAGCTTTACTTCCCTTCTTTTCTATTGCAGACAGCAACCCTACGCACACCCTGTCTGCTAGCGGCTCGGAAAGGGAAAAGGATCGAGGATCATCGGAGCGGCGCCAGCGTTCATCTGCCAAGTTCCAGCCTCCGGACCAGCCCCCGGCCCAGAAGGACTGGGTCCCAGACACCAAGCACGGCACGTGCATGGTCTGCCGGCGGGAGCGGTTCACCATGGTCAGTGGTCAGAACAACAGAACCCAAGAGGAGGAAAATTAATGGATCCAGATTAGCTGCAGATTTTATTTTGGCTGAGAAATAGGAAGTTATCAGTGTTGTCAAATGAATTAAATCCTTTATTTTATTTGGATTAACCAAATAAAAACAAAGGACTTATATCTGATAGAAATATTGGTGTAAATATTCCATATCTTTCTGGCAACTAGAGGAATTCACCTGAATATTTCTGCTGTCTCTGTATCTTTCTGTCTGCAGTTCAACAGACGGCATCACTGCCGGCGATGTGGCCGCCTGGTTTGCAGCACATGCTCAGAGCATAAGATGCTGGTGGATGGATGTCCAGGAGAGGAAGTCAGAGTCTGTGACCAGTGTTACGTCTACTTTCACCCAGCGTGAGTTCCTCTTTATAGATGGCTATTTGAGCTATAATATAGGCAACTAATGAATCAAAAATCTATTTTTTTATCAACTTTATATGCAAAGTGCTTGTCGAGTTCAAGCAATCAGCATATATGCAACATAAACTCACTGATAGGGTTAATAATAATAACCCCGTATTGTCCTAGAAATGAAAACCAAACAAAGCAATTAGCTTTCCTGCAGGAAAGGAGAGATGCCAGACCCACTGAGGAGTCTGTGGTCAACTCTACCAGAACCTCTCTTTCCTGCTGCTTTTATTATCAGACTTCAAAAAGAATAACAGGAGTGGTCAGAAGTTATCAGGAAGAGTCAGAAGTTATCAGTCACCTACGGCAGAATAGCTGGATAATAAAAGGCCCTGAGAGATATATTTGCTCTCCCCATTTAGAACACTTAACCCATTTAGGCCTAAAACGCCTGGAAAAAACACCTTAAAAACCTATGGCCGATTTTAAAAAATACCCCTAAAACCTGAAGTTTTTCTGTAAATTCAGCAACTGTGTCAACGCCTTAATTATTGATATCTCAGCTTCTGTAGCAGATAGAACTCAAAATATATTTTATCTTTGAAATTCTTCCAAAAAAAAAAATGTGAAAAGCAGTAATCAAAAAAAAAAAAAAATTCAACCTTTTATTTTTTCCATATGTGATCATGTCTTCATTGAGAATGTGCAATATAAAACGTTTTCAAAATAAAGAACAAACATTACATAAATAACTATCTGATGATTACTTATTAACAGTATTATTATGCATAATAATGCATATGTCTGTGTTATAAATTGCATACAACCTACCTCCAGATGGCCACAAATCTGTCCCGGGACATATTTTGGGGGAACTGCGTCCTGAAGAGAGGTTTACATACACAGCCCAATAAATGTCTTCATCTCCGTCACAGTCACGGGTGACCACTTTGCCATCTTTGCTCTTGTTGGAGTTTGGTTTGTTTGGTCACTGTACCTATTCGTCTCGGTAACTAGATGCATCCAAAGTTCTTCATTAAAAATATGCTCAAATGCCTGCAGCGGTGTGGCGTCTGCAGGCAAATCAACTTTCACTCCAGGTGTGCGGTTGAAAACACTCCGTGCATTGCGCTGGTAGTTCGATTGGTTCAGCGCGTTCAAAGTCATCATTTCATCTATACCGTCATCAAAGCCGACACACTCCTCAAAATCACTGCCTTCCGACAACTCTTCTCTGTCAAACTCCTCCATGTTTGCTTGAAAAAAACTTCTTTCTTCTTGCTTGACTTATATGCTCTCCCGGCGTCAATGGTAGAATGACGCAACAGCACCCCCGGCTTGAATGGTAGAAATGCGGTAATGCTTTCCCGGCCTAAATGGGTTAAACATTCCCGGCGGGCCAGAGGTCTGTAACTTAAAAAATAAAAATGATAACAGATACATTTTTCTAAGACTCATTAAGATCTCTGACCTCTGATCAGGGCTTCTGTGAGGAACAGGTTTGATCACTTGTAAATCAACATTCTTACTTTTTTTTTTTTTTTGCAGTTCTGAGGATGAATCCGATTCTGCTGAAAGTAAGTTGACCCTCTCTACCTTATATGTTTATTTGATAACCGTTGGTGCTTTTTTGTTGTGTTGGTTTTTCCTCAGGGTAAGTTTTTGAAATGAAAGCGTTCTGTGAAAGCTCACTTACAGAGTTCTGTCTGACTTTTGTGTTTCGATGCAGTTATCGGAAGCCCAGTCGTCTCTCAGGAAGCTCTGGATGGGATGCTGCATCTACCTGAAGTGGTCCACCGACAGTTCAGTCTGAGCACAGACCCCGCTGAGAACCAGCTGCTGCGGACTGGCTTCTACTATGAGCAGGTTCAAATTTGCACAGCTGAGTTTTCCTTGTTCGTCGACATGACTTGAAGAAGTATTCACACCCATTGGGTTCCAAAAACAATCTTTAAAGTTCTTTATCGAGCTTTTAATTGCGTCAGTATTTCCAACCTTTCAAAACAGGCAGATGTTTTCCCCTCCCAAGTCGGTGATTCGTAGAAGCACCTTTCACTGCGATTATTGCTGCAAGTCTTAACATAGGCAGGAATGTTTGCCCTCTCTGCTTTCCACAGCAGCACAGGCTCAGTCAAACTAGTTGAGATGTTTTTTAAAACTGTAAAAAAAAAAAAAATCTCCCAATTATGAAATCCTGATTTGATGTCATAATCAGGCTTGTTTTCCAGGTACCAACAAAATGTTTCCTAACTACCAAAACTGAGAGCTCCAAATGGAAGTACAACTATGTGCATAAAAGTGATTTTTCCATCATTGGTCCCTTTTTGATGATGTGTTTGTCATCTTTAAAGCGTTTAAAGTGTCAGATACTTTGTCAGTTTTTTTAACTCAACGTCTGTTCTGCTTACATCTCCAGGCTCCCAGCGCACACCTCTGTGTGGCCATTTTGTCTCTGCACAGCGACCAAGCTGCCTGCGGCCACCAGCTCATCAACCACTGCCGCTCTCTGTCCCGTAAACTAACCAACCCAGAGGTGGACGCCTGCCTGCTCACTGACATCATGCGGCGGCTACTTTTCAGCGCCAAGTTGATGTTCGTTAAAGTCGGTCAGAGCCACAACCTGGCTTTATGCGACAGGTAGGACCTGATCTTCGCTCACTATTTGAGCCAGTCTACATTTGTTTGGTTGTTTTGTTTCACTCCGATATGAGAGGGAGAATAAAGTTTTAGAAAGTTGTGATGTTATAAGGCAACGCATCAATGTTGGATGCAGAATAAAAGCATTATTATGGAGTTTATGCATTTTTAACATTTGATTTTTATGAGCTGTTGGGTAAGAGGGGAAGAAGAATGTGACTAAAGGTCTGATATGAAGAACTTTCTGAGAAATAACCCAACATCCGATGATTTCCAAAGCTGTTACTCATCGTATGAGCTGGGGGAGTGGCTGCCTAGTGGTTAGGACATAGGGCACTCCTGAGGTTTTGAGTTCAAAACCCACTCCCTCAGACTGCCACTCTGGGTCCCCGAGCAAATGCCCTTAACCCTACACTGCTCCCTGTATGCCGCACAATGGCAGCCCACTGCTCCCCAAGGATATGGGTTAAATGCAGAGAGTAAATTTTGTTGTGCTTTACCTTTGACAGTGTAATGCAAATAAAAACGCTGGAGGAAAAAATGCATACGGGAAGACAACACTTAAAGCTACAGTGTGTAATAATTACAGGGATATACAGTCAGAAATGTAATATATTATACATAACTATGTTATTTATCATCATCTACGAGCTCAGCCTCTTAACCTTAATATTTGCGTTGCCTTAGAATTCGTTATTTATAATTACATAGGAGCGGGTCTCGCAGCCATGGAGGCAGACATCTTTGCGCTACGGCAGCGCAGAGCCAACAAACTGGCGATTGCGAGATCGCCCATTACGCTCGAAAGTAACTACGGCAAGTTGAGAGAGATGAACTGAGACGGTACTGAAATCTATACCCTACACAGACTAATGAAATACTATCTGTAAAATTATCTATGTAAACAAACCTCATCACTTGAGAAGGTAGGTGATGCGGACGTCGTGGAAGACATTTCCTCCCGTAACGCTCGCCGTACTGTTGGGGGGGAGAAGCGGTGGGGGGGAGATGTTCATGTTGCTGCGGTCTGCAGTCTGTACGTTAGATGTCGCTGAAAATTACACACTGTAGCTTTAATGACAGGATGTGATTCGTAAAGTTTTTACTTAATCTTTAGCACTGCCTACTTCACAGCAACCCTAAAGGAAGTGCAGAGCCAGTCAGAGATTTCACACTCCTCTTCATATCAGTTTATGGATTCCTCTAACTCCTTCAGACAGGAATTAAGTGTACATGTTTTTAGTTTAGATTTTATTAAATACAAAATTGTACTTTAATATTTAAGTGCACTTCTGCTTATCTTTCATGTCTTCTACAGAGGAACCACATGTTTTTTTTATAGCCATAAAGATCTATCTAGCTTTTTTTTAATGGATATTTGGACATAAAATCCTCCAAAAGGAAACGAAAGGTCCACAAACTGACCAGACATTTAACTAAAATCATACAGATACACACGGCTGGATTACAGAATCCAAACAACCTGAATGCTTCCTCCTAAATTTCTGAGTTGTTAGATTCATGCTTTCCTGTTTCTTTAATCCTTATATATATATATTGTAGCAGTCACTGATAGGCTCATTGTTGATCCTAAGAGTGATTAGGATCAGTTTATCAAGCTATGTTGATCAGCCATGACAGGATGGACAGCTGGATCATTTTGATCAAATACATTTTTATGTCACTAGAGTTCTATCATCATTCCTGCCTAAAACCAGAAGAGATTATTTCCTAATTATGTGAAATCCTCACCATCACTGTTTGTCTCTTGGTTCTCTGTTTTAATGTTTAGCTTCCTCTTCATTCTTCATGTTTACAGTTACATCAGTAAAGTAGATGTGCTCAAGATTTTGGTGACGGCCAATTACAAATATATTCCCTCTCTGGACGACATCCTGGAGACGGCTGCCGTCACACGTCTGCGCAATCAGCTGCTGGAGGCAGAGCACTACCAGCTAGCCGTGGAGGTCAGGCTTTTTAGGTTATTCACTTTTAGGATAAGTTTTGTGAAAAGGGAAGAGCCTATGTGGTTCTGATGCCTCTGGTTGTTTGGTTACATTGCTAGGTGTCGACGAAGAGCGGCCTGGATCCTGGTGGTGTATGGCAGGCGTGGGCTCTGGCATCTCTGAAGGCTGGGAACCTTTCAGGAGCGAGGGAGAAGTTTGGCCGCTGCCTCAAGGCTCCGGTGGACCAAAACCAGCTCAAACTGGAGCCCCCGTTGCTGCAGGAGGTCGTCCATCACCTTGAGACAACTGGACGGCCCGCCAACGCCAAGGTGAACAGAGAAACCTTTGTATTTTCACCCATCCTCCATTCGTTTGACATGTTTAGACTTCAGGATTTTCCCTATTCTTATTGCTCATTTTAGGTTGATCAATAAAACAGGTTGAACTAGAATCATTGATTGCTTAAAAGAAACACAGTTTACTACTGATATGTGATAAAATACTACTCAGTTCTCAATCAGCTCTGAGCATTTTTCCGCATTGTTGTAGAAATCCGTTTCTGTCTCAATTCAAAACAATCATGAAAAACATAACTTCTGGAAAAGGTTGTCCGACTGTTTTATAAACTCAAAGTTTTGGTTTGAATTTGGTAAACTTGATATTTCAGCTCTTCTTTCTTAAACTGATTTCGATCAAAGTGGAAACCTTTTGTCTCCTTCCTCAGTCTTATGGTGAAGACATTATGGCGTCGCTTCGAGAGCTGGAGGACGCTCTAAACGAGGTAGTTCCTGCAGAGCGACAAGAGGTACCCATTCAGAACAGCTACCTCTTCCAAGAGTGCCTTTATTATTTGAAGACATATGGCCCTCACCTCGCCGTCATCAGCTTCTACATGCGCCATAACTGTGAAACTGAGGCCCTGAATTATCTTCTAGGGAAGGTAAGACTCTTTGTTTATGGATTGTTTTCCATTTCTTCAGTGTTCTATTGTTAAACTATTTGTTTTTACCCTCAGGAGTGTCCTGACGAGGTGTTTCTAGAGGGGGTGCTGCAACCCTGTTTGGAAAGAGGAAACTTCAGCATGCTGCAAGGTATTATGGTAAAACTGGACCCCAGCCTAGACTCGTGCAGCCGCTATCTAATTGCTGCATGCCAGTTCCTGCAGCGGAAAGGATACTATCACTGCTTATACCAGCTGCAGAAGTTCATGACGGTAGGATCTGCTTTGATATATTTTTTTCTTTTTTTTATTGCAGTTATCTATTTTATTTTTTTTTTTTATCATTTACAGAAACATTTGCATACAAATTTAGCCTAAAGTGCTTAAATATATGAAAGCATAACCCCAGAATTAACAAAATCACTTTGGTTGTTGATGCTGTTTAGAGTTTTATATCCCCTGTGGTCAGCTAATTTCATAGAGATGTTTGTATACTAATAGTTTGGGTCATGAATCGACTCTGGTAGCTTTTTTGAGTCATTTTTGGAAGCCCAGTGTTAATGTATTCACGTGTAACAATAGCTTTTTTTTTGATTACGCTAAAAATGCCATTTTAGCTCAGTTAAAAAACTCTAATATTAGCTGAGCAGCACACCTATATCTATGCTTCTTTACGTTTCCTCCTCTCCAACTTATAACTAACTTATCCAGCATCTGCTGCACCAAGTACTAGATTGTCTTGTAGAAACATAATTTCCACCAAAAGCATTGATATTTAGTTATGTTGGACAATTCTTATTTTGAAAAGTCTTCTTAGTAATCTTAGTTTGCAAAAATGAATAACATTCAGTATTTGGATTTGCAAAACTGGTTATTCCACTTCTCAGTAATACTGTACTGTGTCATTGCCATTAGAGAAAATCCTCTTTAAGTGGTATGAAGGCCTTATATAAGGCCTTTACAGCTATTAATAATTGTTGTTTTTTATGAATAAAAGAGATACTTTTTAGTAAATTATCTTTTCATAATTTACAAATAGTTTGACCTGGGAAAAAGCTAAAAAAAAAGAAGCTAAATGTAGTTTTCACAACATTGCGTCTTGGATGGACGGATAGAGTTTGCTAATTAATTTGTTCATTACATTTTCGATAACAGAATTGTATTTAGGTGACGGTAAAATAACACCCCTTTAGCTGTGAATAGACCATATTGAAAGATATTTTTTTTTCTGTGAATGGCACATTTTAGAGTTTGTATAATTCAGTTAGCGTATCAATTTCCCAAATCAGTTTACTGTTTATGTAATAGTTGATTAATAGCTTTTAGCCCTAATTCAAATGTCTACTAAAACCTTCATCCTGTTTTATTAAGTATAATTCATTCAGATAAGACATTCTTTGTTATCCTTTGTCACATAGAGGCAGATTCCTGTTTTTTAACTACTGTCTAAGAAAGACATCTAGATTCTACAATCACTGTTAACTTTGAAGTTAAAATCTGTTTCTTTCTGTACAGGACCACGTCCGCGCTGCCATGACCTGCATTCGCTTCTTCACTGTTGGAGCAAGCTCGTACATACAGCTGGGAGAGCAGCAGGTACTTCCAGATTCTTTTATTTTCTGCTGACAGATTTGTTCAAGTTAAACTCGTGGCTGACTTTTTACCTGAACTCTTGCTCAGCGCTGGTTGGCTAGAGCTAAAGAGCACCTGAAGACATACCTGCAGGAGCAGCAAAGCCGAGGTGCAGGAAGGAGAAAACCATCCGTCACCTCCTTTAGAAAGACCATGTCATCCAGTGATGTGTCCAGGTATCTGCTGTCAGTCCTCAGACGTTTTAAATCCCTTTGTTTTGAAACATAAAAATATCTGTTTAAATTTGTTTTTGTTTAGGCACATGAATACAATCGAGCTCCAGCTGGAGGTGACCCGTTTCCTGCATCGCTGTGAGACGGCGTCGTCCTCCGGTGCCCCGGCGGCCATCAAACCGCACTCTAAGTCTTCCAATTCACCACCAACACTGTTTGGTGGAAGCCCTATGAAGATTGAGGTCGCCTGCAAGGTAAAGCCAGATGTGATTCACGCATCTAAGGTGAAAAAAATATGTTTATTAAATCATTGCTTGTTTTGTACTTGTTGTTTTGCAGGTGATGCTTGGAGGAAAAAACATTGAAGAAGGGTTTGGCATTGCTTACAGAGTCATACAGGTATGGTTTTATAAGAGCTGAGGACGTAGCTTAATTTTTACTTGATGTTTTTTTTAATCTTTGTTCAGTTTCACCCTTTCTTTTTCTCTTATGTTCTCTTAGGACTTTCAGCTGGAGGCCCAGGCCGTCTACACCCGAGCAGGTCACAGACTTGTCCGACAGAGGCAGTATGGAGCTGTGAAGCAGCTCCTGAAATGCGTCTGCGAGTCAGGCACGGCCACCAGGCATGACTGCGACGCCCTCATCCTCAGCTGTGTCTCTATTGCAGATAAGGGACCTGCAGATGTAAGTATCAGGAAATAAAGGAAGCAAAATTTGAAATGTAAGAAAAGAAAACAATTTTCCTTTTGGAATAGGATGATTTATGTTTAAAATACAAAACAAATAATTATTATTTTAGTATAAGTCCATAATATCTACTGATATCCCATCTCATTCCATTGACATGTTTTACATTTCAGGACAAACTGACATGTTCGGATTGCTTTTTATGTTTTGGTTTAGGCCAAGGAACTGGAAACCCTCATCTTGGAGATAAAGAGCACAGAAACAAAGGTAGACTGATACTGACTCTGCCATGATTTATCCTTCACATTCAGTCATATTAAATTCAAAAACTCAACAGAAAAGCTGTTCAATTGTGATGGAACCATTCAGGACTCTTTTTTTTTTTTTTTTTTTTTTTTTTTTTTTTTGTGTGCAGATCAAAGCCTACCTGCTGTGCAGTAAACTGAGGCCAGCGTACCTGCTGGCTGTAAAGCTTGACCCTGGCCGGGCGGGCCCATTGGTCCAGGACGTCCTGCAAGCAGCTGAAGGAGCACAGGACTCTGTGATGCAGAACATCTGTCGCCAGTGGCTCTCCGAACACAGCAAGTCCCCTCAGCAACGTCAGAGCCGGCCCACTGCAAGGTAAGGGGCATAGCTGGAGTAGCAACAGAAAACTGGACTTGAAGAGAAAGGAGCCTCTGAAGAAGTTCAGGTGAATTAACACAGTATTGGACAATAAAGGATTTGCACACTTTGCGTTTGAAACACAGCAACAGTATCCCCCTACCTGCTTATTTCTATCTCCAAAAAGTGGAAAACTGCTGCAGTTATGCCTTAAAACCAATTCTCCACCACCACCAACCACAGCTGTGAAGAATCCACCCAAAGATACTGGTACACTGTGATCAGAGAACCTGATACTGTCCTAATCTGCAAGTTTTCCCCGGAGCTAAATATGAAAATTGCACAAAGTGCAAAGACTCTATTTAAAACCCTGACGCTGCATCAGCTGAACTCATTGCCACTTGATGACTTGGGCTTCCACAGACAACATGGTGTAGATTTGTGTTAAACAGGAAGAACTTTCATTTAATATAACCTGAGTTTCCCAGCAACCCAAAGAGAACCCGTCTGTGCATCAGGTTGACATTATGCAGTCCTTTTCCTTTCTAACACCAACATAACTGACACAGATTTCTGACTTTGTCTCTTTTGTTTAATTTACTGACAATTCACACATAATCGTAGCAACTTTTTTTTAGATAACTAAAACAACCCAGTTTTATTTCACAAAAGCGTCTGCTAGTGAGTTAGCAAAAACATCACACTGACTCAAAGTTTAAGAGGTCATTAGTATAGACCCTGCTTTCACTGAAGTCCATCCTTCGCAAAAGCTGTGAATCACCACTGTGCTTTATGGCAGTTTTGGAAAGACGTCACCACTTTACAGCATAAAAAAGGAAAAAATAAAAAGCACTATGAGGGTACCGAACTGAAACACACACTAATTTATGTTGATGTGTTTGTCTTCTACCTCAGCCTAAAGGGAAAAGACTCCTCTGATAAATGTTACCTGTTTATTGCCCTTATTGTCTCTGCTTTGTTTTTTTTTTATTATAATGTTTTTGGTAAAAGTGTTACAAACCCAACAACCAACTTTGCTTTTTTGACGTTTCTATCCCAGTGTTTACCTGTACAGAACATGTTTAAACCAATTTTCAGTACATTTATAAAGGAAAATGCAGGTATTTGATGAAGCTATTAGGTTATAAGGAGTTAATATACCTGTAGCAGATCCCACTCCCCATTTAGATTGATGTGGAGGCGAAGGTTAACCTGGGGGCAAATTATACCATTTTAAAACATCTTCATCTCCAAAACCTTGTAGTAAAACAATGTTTTATAAACCTTTAAACTCTTTCCAGGTTTGTATTTAAACTTTTGTTTACATAGGCAGGAAGTGGTGCATCATCCATGATCTTCCTCTTGGAAACATACACTAAAACAGAGAATGTAGTTTTTTTTTTTCCCCATTCAAAATAACCAACTAATGTAGAAGTAAACATATGTAAAAAGTAAAAAGTAAAAAATATAAACAGTATTTTTTTTTTTGTTTTTTTTTTTTTATGTTGACTTTGAATATAAATGCTTTGATTTTTACTCACTGTTTCGAACAGGAAGATAAATTGTGATGCACCGCCTCGAACAACTCTCAACATCTCTGTTTTTCACCACAAAATGTAAACATTAGTAGAGGTAAATGTTTCTAAAACAACATTAAAGGGATAGCTCAACTTTCTTAGTTGAGGCTTCATAAAATTACCTGTAATGTAGTAGAAGGAGGTCACACTGCAATATTACCAGAGTTTAAAAGTTGGCATCTTCACATTAGACCTTTTTTTGTTGACTCCTTTCATTTGCGTCTGATGAAGCTGTCAGGTTTATAAATCTGTACAAATTAAATCAATATTGCAGTAGTAATGGAAGTTTTTTGGTCAAGAGAGGACATAACAACTCAACAGTATCTTGTAAAAATGTAGATTTTACAGCTCCTCACTTTGAAGAATCAGAACCATCTCGGTCCAGGTCCCCCCCCCCCCAGGTTAGCCATTAGCTCCTGCTTCTGGTACCGACACATCTGGAGATGTAGGGTACTAACTGCTTATAACCTCTTACCAGGACCCCACTTAAAAAATAAATCTCTAATTCTAACATTTCAGGGCATTTAAGGTTTTATTAATTGAACGTATAAATTTCAGGTGGGATGCAAAAAGGGATCCACTTTTTTATGAGATCAGAAATGTTCTTGCTCATTTTAAGTCATTGTGTTTTCTTTGTCCTCACTGGAAACACTGTCAGAGTCTGTCTGTAAAATCTGTTAATGATGTGATGTAAAAATTCTAAAACAAAGTCATTAATCTGAATTTAAACCTATATCTCTGCTGCTACCTTTCCAGCTATGACTTCCAAGCACTCGGCTAGATGGGGACATTTTAGTTGCCTCTTTGCCTTGTGTCTCTGCTGCACTAAGCAGATCTGATGACAGATCTTCCTGTGATTATTATTGAACTAATTAAAGCATTTTTAGAAGTGAAATCCACCATAACCTTGAATTACTTTAACTGTTGTGTCCCATCACTGCCGCACTTTATATCTTTAAAATTATTCGGGAAAATTGTAATGCATATAATCCAGCAACTGCTAAAAAAAATGCAGGGATAAATGATTTTGAAATGTTTGTCAATTGTAAAAATAAAAGTAAAATGATCAATACCAAGATATTACTGGTGTTTGTGTTTTTTAATTCATAGGAGAATTTAAAGATGCCACACACTCAAGACTAAATAAAATATTTTAACTCCAATTTATTTCCAAATTTGCCATTGGGTTATATTTCCAAGGATTCAATTTCAGATTGTTACCAGGGGCTGCTGTAGCTTTCTGGGTGCTCAGAGTTGTGAGCATCTCACCATTCAACAACTTTTCACAAATAATCCAAATGGCTAAGGTGTCATACTAACACAAGTATGGAAGATTTTTCCTGCTGTCGTTCTATAAGCAGCAAAGGTTGCTAGGCGACAATCGACGAAGAAGAAGGAAGTTAACTAGAGGAGAAATATCTGTGCAGAAAGCATTTGATCTGAGAGGAGAAACGGATTTGATGGAGAAGGGAATATATCTGAGAGAAAGCAGAATTATTTAATGTGAGCATTACAAGTTTTGAATGCAAGTAGAGGAAATCCTGCTCACTAAAAGAAAAGGTGTGCTCTTGGTTTTTGGTAGGAAAAAATCCTCCGTGCACAGGTTCCTATTCCAGCAGCGTGATCCTGGATGAATGAAGGCAATGGACTATATGCCCAACTCCACCTCTTCCTGAACCTCAGCCAGCTTATTTGTTTCCTGTCTTTCATTACTGGACAAACTTATTAATCCAGGTATTTCTGGCTAATGTTGTCATGGTTACTGAGGTCAGACACACCTGGATTAATCAGTTTGTCCAGTAATGAAAGAAAGGAAACGAAGAGGCTGGCTGAAGTTCAAGAACTAGTGGAGTTTGGCATTGCGGAATCAGGGTTTTATGTTTTTGCAATGTGAAAGTGACTTGTCGCATGTATGGAACCAACTTTTCTGTATGAGATGCCACAAAAGCAAAGACAGAAAAACCTTTGTTGTAATGTTTCAGTTTATTTACATAAAATGTAAACATTCAACTCTTACTATGAATGTTGTTTTAGTAAAAGGCATGTCCGACTTGTATAAAACACAGAATGTAAACTCTAGGCAGCTATGCATGGGAATGCTGAGAAAGAAAAGGAGAGATCTTTGAATAGCTGTGCTTCCAGCCGGTAAACTACAAAAGGAAACCTCTGGAGACACACAGACAGAACATTAATGTCATTCAGCTCTCAAATATGGCTCACACTTGCTCTGATAAATGGTAGAATATAATCCCTGCTTCAAAGTTTTTAAATTTTTAAGAAAGTTGGCACAAGAGTTAAATAGTTTAACTGCAAATTCTGAAGAAATTAACAATATAAAATGTTAAATAAAAGGATGCTGGTCTTTTACCCTGCATTGACACCTAGTTGTATGTCACGGCATTAGAAAAAGATCAAGTTTAAGTTTTTGCGTTACTCTGTATTCACATTATGTTATGAAAATAGTCTGAAAATATGAACTGTTGATAAAGTTGACTGGTTCAAATTTAAGGAGCTGCAGCAGAGCACCGAAATAACAAACTTATTGCGTCTTAATGCACACAAAAAAAATCACATTGTTTTACACAATAAAGAAAAGGCTAAAAACCGAAAGGAAACAAATTAAATGAGTGAGAACAGAAGTGCGATGGACTCCAAGGAAGCCTGAGAAATGTGAGCAGTACAGAGGGGACTCAATCCCAGTCGATGCCAAGAAGCTCACAGCTGACGTCCCAAAGTTTGCTGGCCGTCTCCTTGCTCCTTCCCTGGGGAGCAACGAAGGCGGGGGTGCAGTCACTGAAACCAGAGGAGGAGAAAAGGACCGGTTATTATGTAAGAGCTAACAACTAGCTTCTGTTACCTTGTTGATTGTCTTTGTAAACCACTTAAATATAGGTAAAGAACGTCCTAAAGATCACTGATCTGAGCAGAATGGTGCAAACAGGACTTTTTATTCTGACATAAAAATCTAAACTGTTTATGTTCATCCTAAAACTCTGATTACCACATTAGTTTAACAAATAATCCATCTGATAAAACTAATTTTAGATTTCTTGTTTTATTATCTTTGGTACTATATACACTCTTTTTATATTGTCTGTTGTATTTTTATCTTTAATGGCCCCGTGCTTTAACTCTGCCCTTTGTACTCTATATAAGCTACTGGAACCAGAATTTCCCTGAAGGAGTAATACCAAGGGATAAATAAAGTTGAGTCTAAGTCCAAGTCTAATTCTTTATGATGATGTGTGTCATTTAATTTGGATTCAACCTAATGAGGAGAATATAGTTTGAAATGTTACAGTTTTGTAAAAGAACATGAGAGCTCTGAATAAACTTTTTTATATGTGAGATGGCAATTTTTTTTGTTAAACTGTAATTAGCTCCATATCATCTAACTTTGATGGCTTTCTGTTTGATTTTCCAACTGGCACTGGAACTTTTAGCCACTAGGGGCGCTAGACCAATAATGTCCTGATTTGGAGCCTCTAAAGAGCAGCTGTATGGAAGCAAATCGTTACCATATTTCAAATGAAAAATCATTTCCAGAAATACTTTTTTCATTTTAAGAATGTGGCTGCATTGTTTGACTAATAAATTAAATAAGTAATCAATAATCCTGTTTGCATTTTCTTCTTTAACACTGCTCATTCTTTTACTTAATTAAAATGAAAAAAAAAAAGACATTTGAGATTTACTTTTCAAAATGTACCCCAACAAAAAAGTCTGCACAGCGCATTAAATACACACCAAGTTCTGTTTACTGATAGAAAAAATAATTTAGAGCAGCAATAAGTAACATTGCTGCCTTAACATATCTTCTTCTAAGCCCCTGTGATGGTAATCTAAGGGTTGATGAGACAATTGAGGGTTCTGTCATCTCCCCCTTCCATCTCTGGTTGGAAAACCAAACTTTCTGTCTAATGACCCTAATGGTGGTCTGATGATTGATTTTATTCCTCTTACAGTGGATACATTTACTTGTTACATCAGCTCAACTAGTCAAAGAAGGAGAATGTGCCAAAGGAAGAAAAAGGTGCATGGGATATATACAGTATATACACTGTGTCCTCATATGAGCTTTTTTCATACATAATTATATATATATATATATATATATATATTTTTTTTTTTTTTTAGGTTGATGACATGGAGGAGCCAGCAAAAGAAGGGTTGTAGCTGTGACTACTATTTTCAAAATGCCCTATATGGGGAGCACAACTAAAAAATACTTGGTGCTACTTTAACATATTTCAAACTAAGCTCATAATTGGATCAATAATTGCCCAGTGTTGCTTGAAACAGAAAATATGTTGTTTTTAACATTTTTACCACAGCTCATCCTTAACCTTCAAGCTAGCTACCTGAAAAGACAGCCCGACTAATTAACCCAACAAGTAGAGGGTTTTATACCAATCCAAACAATTAAAAGTATTTATTTCCCATCTATATTATTAAACAGTAAATTATGTTGTCAGATGATCCACAGTTGAATGTCTTCCTCAGTGGTACCAAACATCAAAAGTCCAAATAGGTGGTTTATTTCTGCAATATGCTTAAAGATATCTGTTTACTGTCACTTCCTGGTATAAGTCAGGACTAATATGGTCCCGGATGGAGAGAGCAGACTCATTAATGAAAAAAACAAACAAATCTTAATTATATTACATTTTTAAAATGACTCGGTCAGGCTTATTAACTAAATTAAAAACTGTTTAGATGTTTTAAATTAGTTTTTTTAATTTTATTGTTTAAATAGTTAAACCTTACTATTAGAAGGATTTTATGCATTGATTCCTTTTTAGTGACTGCTGCTGTATGGAAATGATTCACCCCCCTGAACACAATTCCTTAGACATGCCTGATGCGATGAGTCAAGGGCTTCATCAGTTGCATCAGGTGGGCTTAAAATTAAAACATCTACAGAGATTTCTGGAGCCCATTATAACTTAAATCACAGCTTTTTAATGACTCAATGCCAAGTTTTAAAATTCCATATTAATATCAAGAAAAGCTCTTAAATGTAAAATAAACTGGACTTTAGCTTAGCTGCGGTTCTGATGCACAGAGAATTTTCTCTATCTTTAGTTTCTCATCAGACCCTGATTAAGAAGCTGCATTCTTTAATAATAAAGGAGATGTGAACATTTTACTAAAAGGCTTTTATGGTATTATGTGGACATTTCTGTGCATCTGCTTCACTTTATAAATGATTTATTAAGAACGCAGCAGAATACGATCCCACTGGTATTTTCTTTTTAAATTTTGATTTAGTCGACTTTGTTTCTTAGCCTTTTCTTTTTTACCTGAAGTGTTTCCCAGATACTGAGTGCAGCTCCTCTGCTACAGCACAGTAAATGCTGGTCTGAGCTCCTTCCTGAGGCGTTTTCAGGAACATGGAGAAGACTGTGAACAGAATCATCATGAGGGTCGAGTGTCTGGTCAGGTCTGAGTTCACCGTGCCGGGATGGACCGAGTTCACAGTCACACCGGTCCCTAAGAAAGCAAAATGACCACAGCAGAGATCTTTATATTAGTTATAGTCAAAGACCCGAGCATGCTCTGTTTATATTACCTTAATGAGAATTGAAAATATATAAATAGGCACTAAAATTACACAATTTCAATAACTTATATTAATTATATGTTGACCTTTACAAATATTTTCCCCATAGAAAGAAAAGCCATAAATGTTCAAAGTGGCTGACTTCTACCCGTTACATTTAGCTTTTTAATATCTTCTTATGTTTTAATAAAATTCACGTTAAGTTTGATAAGCTTTGGATCTGGTAGTTGTGCTAAAAGATAATCAAGTTGCATTACTTTTTCCAACTGATCCACACTAAATGAAAACAATTGACTTTTTTTTTTTTTTTTTTTTACTGTGACTTTTAAATAACAGAGAAATGACTCTGAATTATCTCCCTATCTGACACAACTGTAAACATCAGGACCTAACCCCCCATACAGGAGAAGTAGGCAATCACCTGTAGCCCCCCCAGGCTTTTTGTTAAAACAGATTTTTTTTTAATTACTATTCAAATGTTTATACTTTTAAGTGTTTTTGCTGCATTTATTGCC